ACCACGTGGGAATTTAGTTTGTTGTTGTTCTTTAATACAAATAAGATCAGCCTTTTCAAATAAAGACCGTAAGGTTTTCATTGGTCTCGTTACGGAAGAGTCTTCCTTGTCAATTTCCATATTATTTGAAGTTGTGATATTTTCTTTCACCACAAGTACACCATTATTTTTCAGGCTCAATCTGCAAATCCAAATTACAAGGTAAGAAATAAGACTTTCGTATTTCCTCTACAATAGAACAAAATATAACTCACGAGCATTTTCTAAAAAATTCTATTAAATCATTATCTTCCAAATGTCCCAATACCCATTGACACCATATAAGATCGTATTTATTTGGCATAGGACAGAAGTTTTGCAATCCTTAAAAAAGACGAGTATATTTATATGTATCCCGTACTAAACTTCAGTCTTATAGAATATTTAGATAAATTTATTACCAATAGGATAATATTGGCCGATTCTCGATGAACAGTTTTCCAGAGAGATCTTTGCTACCTCTAGAAATTTTGGATTTTGCTCAACGAGGTCTATATGTTTAAAAAATTTTAGTAATAAGTTCTTTGTAATTCTACCAATACCAGCACCACAATCTAGAGCAAATGCTTTAGAAGGTGGATTTTCTATCTAAAACAGAACAATTTCTTTTTAATATGTTTCTATCTAAAACAGAACAATTTTTTTTTAACATGGTTCATTTCTTTCCATATTTAACTTTTCAGAAATGAAGCCAAAAGATCTGTTATTTTTAGCTGAACTTCCTGCATAGTTTATCTTTTCTCCTTTTTTGTTCACATTAAAAAAAAAAAGGAAAAAGATAAAGTGTGCAAGAAGTTCAACTAGAAAGAACAGAACTAAAATCTATAACACAGATACTGACAAAAATAAATACTAAGTACATACTAAGTAAATACTAAATAAATACTAATAAATACTAAATAAATATTAAGTACTGAAAAAAAATACTACATCTATTTTAATAACAATAATTCAAATTTGCTGTGGGTGGGTAAAGAATATAATCAAATGGTAAAGAATATAACCAATTAATCCATTGCCAGTGTCAAAGGATTAAATCTACAATTTATTATAACTCTAAAAATTGATTTTTTCAACATTTTTATCTTAATTGTTTCAATTACAAATAAAAATAAAATGTAAAATTAATATAATAAGAACATAGGAATCTGTCTAAACTTTCTCAAATCTATTTTTTTTTTAGTACATTTTAGACTCATTCATTTAGTACAAAAATTTAATACATATATTCAATATATGCTCTCCTGTGTTCTACTTTGCATAAGGATCTGTCTAATCGTTTCTAGCATGCATACGTAATCCCAGCACATGTGTAGTTCATTATATTAGGTTGATTATAATAGATGAATATGATAGGTTTCGTAATCCCAATAGTGATCAACTTTAACGATTAATATTTCGTCTTGCAGAACTGAGCACATTTTACAGCCTCTGAGCTGTAAAATGTGCTCTTAGAGAGACAGATTCTGTCGTTCCATGCAAAAATATACCGAATAATCATAATTTCATTGAAGATGAGGAGTATTTTCTGGATAATTACCTAGGGAATTCGTGTTTTTAAAGCAGAGAACTTGTGTTTTAAACTTTAAAAACAGAGAATTCGTATTTTTAAAGATAAATAAACAGTGAGAAATACCTAAGCGCATGCGCATATGGATTATGCAAAGCATGCTCCGGATTGAGCACATTTTACTACAGGATTCTTTCATGCAAAAGCGCGTTAAAATAATTTTATTGAAATTGTAAGGCGTCTTTTAAATAATTATCAATTTTTTTTTTATCAAACGCAAATGTTGAAATAGATCAACGAACTATGAAGGTAGTGATAGGTTAGACTATAACAATACATACCTCGAAGAGAGATTTTAAGAAGAGTGTAGAGCCCTTTATGTCAGTCTGCGAAATAAATCCGAAACCTCCCAGCATCCCATCCACTGTGGGCGGGATACGGTCCCAATATTTCGCAGCAGCGGTGTAAAATTCGTCCTGATACTCCTGACACGCGTTCGCGATATACCGCGGCTCTTGCATTTTCGCTATTTTCCGCACACTGATTTTCACTAATAAGTCCACGTTTACCCGCGTAATTTTGTCACGGCAATTCTCACATTCTCGCCGCGATCAATATAAAAATCATAAAAACAAGACAGGATGTTGGAACATATGATAACAACAACAATCTTTTGAGAAGAGTCCGAGAGACTCGTTCAACTCGATGTTTAATCTTTGTAGCTGCACTGTCTGCACTGGGGTGCACTTGTAGTGGCTGCTTTCCAATTGCAACCCCTAGACACTTTCGAGTTTTACGCACACGGCGAATTCAAATTACATTCCAATTGCTCGTTTATTTGTATATTTATTTATTAGAAAGTATTTCTTAACTTTTTTATGACTCGTTTGATACCGTTCGTACAGACTAGTAGCGCGCGCGGCTCTTTTTTACATTACTTTTTGAAATCTCATCGCGAAGAATGCCAAATATTGTAATACAAAACGTTGTACTTAATGAATAATTATACTAGTAATAATTATACTAGTAATTATGCGAATATTCATAAAATACAACATTTCGAATTATATCTATCCATTTTTTGCGATTATTATGTTTCAAAAAGAAATGTGAAGAAGATCGGCACGCGACACGACTATCTCCTTGTACTAATTTCGGTTAGAGAATGACTGCGCGGTAACTACGCATAAACGTAAACATGACACGCCGCTCCGTGCCACCCCGTACCATCCCCACCCCAAGGTCACGCGCCAACCGTCTAACTGTCGAAATATTAATGCGTATTACGAAGTAAAATAATATATTCTTAAATTTTTTATGTTCTCCGATTAATGAAACAATTTCTTATATGTATCTCTAGTCTTAGCGGCGCGAGTCGTTTAATATGTGATATCATAATTATATTATGATACACTGGGGAATATATTTAACGTTTATGTTATAATTTTAAATATTTCGTATCAATATTACAATGTGCTGACAAAAGGCAAGAAATAAAAAAAGATTTTTACTAGCGTGATTTTTCTTATATAATTGCTCACCACGTTATTAGATATCACGTTATTAGATCACATATTAGAGATTCGATAGAAATGGTAATTGTAATTGACATGCTACCAAAATTATTACTATCGGTGATCTGAATTCACACCTGATTCGGTGATTCGGGATTCACACCTTCCTGTAACAGAAAAGATCGATGGTGTTTGACGGATTGCTTATCTTTTCTTTGCGAATGGATCTCTTGTGAATTTGATATAGAATCAGATACATATTAAGTTCGTTCTTCATTATGAAGATTGTTCTTCTTTGTATTGGATACTAATCGGCGTATCATGGTGGTAGGACCTTGATATGATCAAATTATTCGGATAGTTATATATCTTAAACGCGATGAAAATGCTATCATAAATGTATTAATAACTTTTTATCGCGATATTAATAAGTTGCATAATCGCAAGTTAATAATTAATAATGAATACGATCTAATTACATTTCATTCCACGTTTATCAATATTCAATTAAACATTAGTTTAGAAAAATTTGTGTTATCGTATGTATTTTCGACGTTTCGTATAATCCCCCGCATTACTCAATTTGTTAATTATGCTCCTATAATATTTTTATTATATTTTGAACAGCATTTGTAATTGTATATTGTATTATAAACTATTATTATTGTAATATAGAATTGTATAAAGATTACAATAAAAAAATATTTAAAAAATATTAATGCAATGTGATTAGCGAAATACAATAAAATAATTAGGTATAAAAATAATAAAAATAAATTAAAAATATATTTACCTGCAAAAATAGACTACTAAATTTATTAGTAGCTCACTTTTTTACGGGTGAATATACTTACAAAGAAAAGAGGACCGCCGATAAAATCGGCGGGGGTGGTGGAGGGCCTCTAGCTCGTTTTTGCTAAATTAAACCTTAAATTGACAATACATGATTGGAAAAGTTTGAAGTGTATTCAAAGTCTCTATAATTGCTAGAAATTATAGAAACTTTAATACATATACTAGTAATTATGTTTGGTAAAAACGGGCTGAAAATCTGCCTATGAAGAAACTTCCTAATTCCATTTTTATGCAGACGCGTATTACACTGGTCGACAAAAAAAATTATTAGAAATGTAAGTACATCCAAATTCGGAAGCAAAATTTGTATATCACATCAAGTTTTTGAGAAAATTGGAATTAAATGTGCCTCAAAACACGTTTGTTCCCCATTTTTGAAATAACGTTCCAGGTGAACCTGACGTGCTAGAGACTTTTAATAGGGCTTGAATTAAAGCTTGGACCTTGTATTTTAAAATAATCATAATCAATGATCGTAATCCATCTGTCTCAGGCTGCGGTTCACTTGCTTCTTGCATATGCTGTGAATGCTACACTCCAAACGCTATGCTTAGATTGGTTACGAATGTTACAATTGTTACGTGAACACTTCACTCACCTTCCGAGGTGAAATAGTTGGAGAGTTAAAACTATGACATATTCAGAATTTTGATGACATAATAAGAATTACTGAGAACGTTCTGAAACGTCAAATGGACCAGTCATGTTAGTGTTACAAATGCTCTGTAATGCGCTAAATGCCCGTTTCTACCAATGTAGATTAACTTTAATCTCGGTTCAACTTACTTTTCGTCTTTTTCTAGTTCTAAAGATTAGGGCATAAGTGGGCATAAGTGGATCAGTGGCCTTAAACTCAATTTCGCAACATCCACGCTTTCTATTTTACAACATCTAAGGCAAAATGCGGAATAACGCTGATTGATTACTTTAATGATTCCGCAGACTTATTACGCACCGTGTGATTTCGACCTAAAGGTAAATTCTTATAATTCAATCGAGTATCAGAATATAATCAAATGAAAAGCAGTACAAATAAACACTCCAAAAATGTACTTTATTGTTACTTAGCTTATTGATTTAAATGTACTTTGATGTAGCTTAATAACTTATAAATGTACTTTGATAGTATTTGTATCTTATTTTATGCTCGTAGAGAAACAAATTGATGAAAGACGTCCAAAATATGAGGATCAAGGTCCGGAGTGAACAGTAAAGTTTCCAGAGTCGAGGAATACTTTTGTACTTGTTCTTGATGCTGCAAAACAAATACAAATATTTTCCAATTGTGATAAAAATTATATATATATTATTTTAATATTTTACATGGTGTCCTAGAATGACTGCAAATTATTTCATGCGCAGATATAACGGACTAAACGAGTCGAAGTCTTCCACTATTTTGCAATTTTCGCAATAGTTAACTAGATATTAATTTTTAAAGTTAACCGAATAAGCGCGTCTATTCGATCTATTACTGCCAAGTGTACGCCCGATCTCTCGACACGCGAGCTGCAAGAAGCGAAGTCTGCTTCAACGCTGCGTGTTGCACATTCTGTGAGCTAAACACCACTCGAGGCGCGCTTGCCAGATCATTTTCGCTTCGTGCAACTCGCGCGCTGAACAATCTGTGAACGCATGGCAGTAATAAGCTAGGCGGACGTGCTTATTCGATAATCTTTAAAAATTAATATCTCATTAACTATTGCAAACATTGCAAAATAATAACTTTTTGACTTAATTTAGTTTGCTCTACTTGCATACGAAATATTTTGCGATCATTCTGGGACATCCTGTATATATCAATATTTAAGTAATTATTAAACATTCGCATAATAATAATCAAGCATATAATAATAAAAAATTTTAAACTTACAGATAAAAAAACTTGTTGCAATCTCCCTATAGTCCATTTATACCAATGCGTGTTATAGTCAATTCCATCTGTGTCACAACGTACTAAATGTTCTGATAGAATCATTATAAAACGCTAAAAAAAAGATACATATAATATAATTATAATGACATCTCATTAAAATAGATTTTAGAAATTCTTTCATATCGTATCGAGAAAAATACAATTCGTAATTTACTTTTAATAAAAGCAATTTAATATATGCTTTTTTTTATACCTGAAATATAATGAGAAATAAATTTTTCTGATCTGCTTGCGCAGCTTCCAACTTTTCCTCCTTCCGTTCTACTTCATCCTCTGATGGTCTTTCCCTATTTCTCTCTTTATTATTGTCCTCTTCATCTGAAGAGGAGCCTGATCTACTTTCTGCTCTCCTCAGTTTCTCCCTTGCATCTGTTAATTCCGTACTCAACTTCGTCACATGTTTGTTCATTTTACGTATTGTCAAATGCAATATTTCCCAAATATATAACCTGGAAGCGTAAGTTTTTTTATTGATATTCTTCGATATTTATCTACAATTGTGGTGATATTTCTAAAAATTAAATAAATGAATAGGTATTTTATCCAGACATCGCAGTAATACTAACTTTGTGAACTCCGATGCCATCTCTTTGGAAAATATCCAGTTGGCGATTGCACTACATTCAATGATACCAGTTTTTAAAAACTTGTCCGTTAGTACTACCATCATTTGATAATGATTCTTCCACAAAGCGTACATGTTTCTTAATATACATATTTGTGCTTCTTCCGTATCAGCAAGCATCTATGAATGAGAAATACGTATGTGAAGGGCATATATGCATCTTAACTGTAGAGCTTAATTGTACAGCAGTAATATTAATTTACCTTGAAAACATCATGAAATTTTACTATAGCTGCAAAACTGTGACTAAAACTTTTCGAACCGAGGTTCAGTAAAGATTGTACAAAAACGTCGATCTTTAATGGATTGTAATTATTCGTTTCTTCGTTTTCTCCAGGCAATGTATTTAATATAGCTAATACATCATCCGATGTACCTTTATTTTTTATAGAATCTGTTAACTTAAGTGCTGCATCCGAACCAGGGAGTGAACCTGAAATAGTTTGTTATGTTAATTAATATATTAATGTGTTATGAATAATTATCTGTTTAATGATTTTATTAGTGACTCGAATTACAAAAAATAATGTTCAAACACTTATGTATAATGTTGTTTAAAAATAATGAACATTATATATATATATATTTTCTCTGTATCTATAAAAATTAATTTGATATCACACAAAATAAGTTATAGCATATACATTTCGTTAAGACTTAAAGCTATATATTTGATTTTTATTCCATTATATACTTACTAGCGCCTTTAGGTGTATATTTATACACAGGCTCGGGAACTGCTGGAATCAAATCCGTATACGAATCTGGCATCATATCTCGAATCCTTTGATAATATGACAATCTAAAAACGTGAACTTTGTGTGAGATTTTATTTAGGATAATTTGTCGGACAACTGGATCTTATCCGGTAAAGCCGGATAACTGGATTTTATTCGACTGTATAAACCGGATAATTGAATTTTGTTTGCACAAAAAGATTAAAAAAATGAAAATTTAACTGCTTTTAATAGTAAAAAAATTGTTTGTTTATGTAAACCATTATGTTATAAAAATTTAATAATGTAAACTGTTTAATAAATATATTAAACAGTTTTTCGATATTTTATTATTAATTTTTAATAATATCTTAAAAGTTTTTAATAAAGAATTATTCAAACTAAATTATATATATATATATATATATGTGTGTGTACATTGTAAGACAAAATATTAACCTTAAAGCCTTGAGCAGAACTTCCCGTATAAATTTTGGTCTTGGGTGTTCTGCATCGCGTTGTAAGCAGGAATCCCAATCTTCCCAAGACCAACGGAATTGGAAGTTGCTTAAATGATATGCGAACCACCAAACAAAACGGTCGAAAGCGGTAGCTGCCATACTGTCTATACGACGAAACAGAATCTCTGTAGCTTGCGCTAGTACCTATATATGGCATAATTCAAATATTATTTCTATCGTATTTCACTAGTATTATATAAATGATAATAAACACTAAATTTTTGGATATATAATTTATATTGTTTGTAACCTGTGGCATAGTTGAAGGCTGTAATTTGCAGAGTTCTATCAAAATTGATCCATAACAAATCTCCAAATGTTTTGGAGTAGGCAACCGAAATAATTCACCGAATATTACTTCGACTATACAGTAGTCTAAAGGAATTTTAGCTTTAAATGGAAAGTTTAATAGTTGTACAGCACTGTAAAATGAAAATAATTAACATTATTATGCATAAATTGAGAATAACAGTAGTAATAATTATGAGAAAGTTTTCATATATATCTTTTTGCTTCATCAAATATTATTAAACGATAGATCAGTTTCTTTCAATACATTGCAACTATATATTACCAATCTTTTCTCTCAATATAACAATTATTGATGATCTGTCGTAGATGCTCTTCTATCAGAAATCTCTCAATAGCATGACTTCCTGGTAATAATGATCCTTCAGCAGGACAATCTGTATAATCGAACATACGAAAAACGACAGTAGGCAATGGATAAGAATAAGATTCATGATGTGGAGGCGGCATCAAAGGTGGTAAATTATGTTGTAATGCTTCACACAGAATCGAATCAAACGCAAGATAGGGTCGTGGAATATGTTTCTCGGCCCAATTATCCTGTCTCAGTCTGCGAACTTGCGCCCACAAACAATCTAAATACTCTTCCTGTGGATGAGGTGTGTCACTCGACCATACTCTCAATGCTGGTTGATGTTTCTTGCTTCGTTTATTCAAAAATATCTCTATTGTAACCATTAGATGATCCAATTCTTGTTCCTTTTTCTCATACAATTCTCTTCCAACCCATGGCAGTGTCGATAAAACAGCATAAACATACCTACAAATTATACATAATTACTAATAAAGACTGTTTATTACATACAAATCATACAACAGAGATGGCTCTACACAAGTAAAAGTTTTACACATACCAATCGCGTCTCACTTGCGGTACACCATCTTCGTTTGCAGCATCCAACATATTGTCAAATAACTGCATCAACGATCCACATGATAAAACATGGCAATTTACCAAATCGGCTAGAAATCTAAGAGAATATCTAGCTACATCCCATTTACATGCTTTTAAAGAATCCTTAAAATTTTTCACCATATAATCAACAAATTCTCCACCAAAATTAAAATTTTTTGCGTTTAATAGCCCGACAAGGGTGGTATAAATTGTGCATTTCTCTGGCATCTTAATAGCACAGTCTGTTAAAATCCGAAGAATCTTGCTACGAAATACACCTAGATCAGCTTCTAATACAGAAGCTAAACCTTCTAAGTTGCTTTCCAAGGATGATGTTGACTTCTCTCCGACACGATGGATGAGAGATTCAAGACGATCTTCAATCTCTTGATTTTCTGATACTCTCCTACGTTTCTTATATACTCGATCTAAAAAAGGAATAAAAATATATATGTGTATCTGTGAGTATAAATATATAAATATGTACAAAGTATATGTATAATGTTAAGGTTGTAATAATACATAAAAATAGATTTCTGAGATCATTTTGAGACAAAAATTCTAGTACCAAAATGTCGAAGCTTTAATAGTTTTTAAATTTTAAGTACTTAAAGTTATCGAATCATATCACCTAAA